TATCGTCTTCAATATCGTTCAAATCCGAGTGATTCTACTCAAACAGAAATTATAGAAATAGAACCAAAAAATAAAATTATCGAAATTTCTGATACAGATTTATATGATATACATTTATATACAATTAAACGACCAACTGATGTTGATATTAATGTTTTTGTTCAAAGTCAAACACAATTTCTTAATCAACTTAAAGTAAAATTTATTTGAATTTTGTATATTCTTTTTTTTTAATTTTGAAAGTTTTAGATTAAACTCTATAAATCATCACAACGTGAAAGTCCTATTCAAACAATCACATTAACGAATTCACCTTTTGCTTATTTTAATCAATTACCATTTGATAATGAAGTGAGTATACATATATCTATATATATAGAATCATTTATTTGAATCTACTCTTCTGATATATCTGAAGCAGTTTAAAACAGAGACGTAATATATACCATCTATCGTTCAGTCTGGTTCGGTATAGATTTTGGAACCAGTTGTTACCGGTGTATCTTATTTATTTGTTTGCTCTCATTTTCTCAAAACGTATATCTAATGAAAATTGACCATGTCAAATATCATTATGCACAAATGCATTAGTACAACAGCTTCTCAGTCTATTGTCGGTACGCATTTCAAACCGATCGATAACCAGTTGACTAGTCATTAGTAGTTGTGTAACCAAGGTTGTGCTAGGATGGGCACTGTCCTACCATCAGAAGAAAGAAAAACATAGCATTTACCATTATTGACCCTATAGTGCATGAGTTTTCTTTAAGATTGTGGGACATTGTCCTATCATCCACGCTCTTTGGGTTATGTCACTAATCGTTACCGACAGATCGATTCCATCTGTAGTTTAGACTTTACAGAAAGAAACATTTTGAATATGTTCTATTTGAATATTGAACGAACATTTCTTTTGTTCAGGAAACAGATGAGACGATTGACTGCATTTATATTTTGAGACAATTCTGTAAAAAGGAATTCTATATTTTTTAGAGTTATATTCTTCGACTGGAATCTCCATTATCAACAAGTGTTTACACATATATTCAACCTGAAATAACATTTACAGCTAATCAAACCTTTTTATTTTTTACATTTAATTTTGAACCACGTGTAAGTTGGCCTTTGTACTTCTGATTGTCTTTTTTTTCGTTATAAAATATTTCTTTTTTTAGTTAAGAATTTATGATGGTGAAACAGGTCTTACTGGTTCTTATTCAGCATTCATAATTGCTTTACTCATAATTGTATTAGTATTTAAATATGAAATAGTAAGTTTTGTTTTTAATTCTGTTCACTTTAGATTGAAAATCATTTCTTTTAGATTCTTCCATTTTTACGATCATCGTATGGATATGCACGTGAAATTTTATTACCTAATATAGTTAGAACATCATCATCACTTTTATCTTCTACGCAAACAAATGAACAAACTGTTAAAACATCTTCTTCGACATCATCACTTAATACAATGGGTACAAAAACAGTAACAAATACAAATAATGATAATCTTGGTTTAACAAATGACTCGAAACGACGACCAAGAGTCGCTGATTAGGACATTTTCTTTTCTCTTCTTTCTTATTTTGCCAAACAATATCAAATACTCATTTTTGTCGAGTGATCATTCTTTGTTTCTTCTTCCGCATATCTAGTTATCTATAGTCATGTTACCTTTGTCTTCTTTGTTGCTTTAATTACTAGTAAAAGTTACGTATCCGTTATGCCTAATCTTTTGATACAAGAATTATTCAATGGAATTATATTGGTCAGTAACATTTTTAACTTGATATTACTGATCAAACAAAACTATACTTGATCATAAATGATATTCAATTTTTTCATAAAGAAATTCACAAGTATAATGATACGATAAACATTTTTCCTTTCAGCATTCAAAGAGCGAAATGAAATCGATGCAAATAAGTTGTCCATACGCTATTTTACCGAGAGATATTGCATTTTTGATATTCTCAATGAATGACAAGATTGAATCTTTCATACAAGAAACCATATAACAGTGAATATACACAGCTTGCGGCAGAAGTTGTTTCTTTTCATAGTATCTATTTGAAGCATAATTATTTATGTTGTGATGCCAATTCACGATCAGAATATCAGTCTATCTCAAATGCTCTTCAAAACAGTATATTATTATGTATGTCATGTAGGTTCTAATGAACTATGAATATCTTGAAAAGAGCTTAGGCTAATAGCTTGTTACTACCAAGATACTATAGTTTTTAGTAGAATATCATGGTTTCTCTTAGGAAAACTGAGTTTTGAATTTTGACTTGAAATTTTGTATAGAGACAGGCCTTTTGTGCAATGGTTTATTGTAAGATTTCAAGTCTTTTGACTCCTTCTATTCTAAAATATGATTGTGGCAAAAATATGTGTTTCAAGCCACTCATATACAATAGCGTAAAGTTACAAGTTGATATTTGCAAATCAATTTTTCTGGTGTTTCTGAGAGGGAACTATGGCATTCTTCTAGAAACTATCACATCTCAACCATAACAAGTTATTAGTCTGAACTTCTTCCACAATATTCATAGCTCATCAGAGCCTATATTATGCATACAGTTCTGACTCAAAAACGATTTGACAATTAGAAACGTTCTTTCGTAAGTAAATTCGGTGAAATAAACGATTATAATACTAGTAAATAATAAGAAATAATATTTTTATAAAAGATATTGCAATGATTTCAACTCGTATAAATAATGAATTACATATTAAACCAAGGCTCCTTGAAAATGTGATTTATTAGTAAATAATCAGTATGAAACTCATTAGTACTCCTTACTCCACAAAGTCGAAACACGTGCTAATGAGCAAGACTTAAATAGACCATTAATGTTTTCACAATTACAATTGCAAAGATTTCTGAAATTTCCAGTTTGAGTATTTCTTCAAAAGAAAAATTTCGTTCGGTTTCTAATAACAATTTTTTTAACTTTATCTTTAATCATAGTTCCAATATGTTCTACCACGTTGGAATCGAGTGAATTTTCAAGTCAGATATCACTAGCTAAAAAATTACGAATTTGTCATTAAGTGAACCCTTAGTTATATTTACTTCTGTGTACACTTTGCATTGTTACTGAAACAAATGAAATACGTTTTACATGAAAACGATGTCACGAGACCTAGCTTTATGTCTAATCACTTAACATACATTCTAAGCAACAAAAACAGCATAAGTTCAAATACATGCTTAATTTTTTAACTATTTCACAATATTTTTCGATTTTCTTCAGTATTTTCAATACTTCTTGTTCGAATTCGATGATTTAAATAACTTGATCCGTGGATAACTCAGATATGAAATTTATCAGACGGTGTGAGTTGAAGAAAGTTCTCTTGAGTGCAATCTTTTAACCCATAAGAATATCATAGTCGATCAGAAATATGAGTTACTATGTTTAACGGTTTTGGAACAAAATGCGACAAGCTGAGTCCTTTATTGTGAGGCTAAGTATTGACCGTTTTTGGAACGACGTATTTTTTTTGCATTGATACTATATCTTTTGCCATAACATAATAATTTTATTTTTCAACTACTCGATTGTGATTACTGAAGGTTAGCACTAGTTTTTGAATCATAGTCAAAGAGTTTGCAATAGAGTTTTTTCTAAAAATCCGTAACAAATCGCATCGTACAATAATCGTTCTCCGAGACCCATTGTGCATGAACAAATGTTGCAGCAGCATTATGAATTTCATAAAATGCGATACATTGAATGTTGTTGAAAATTCTCATCTGTTCAATGTCATAAGTACGAGCTATTTTCTAGTACTCAAACTTGATTGCCTTACTAAAGGGATACAACTTTTTCATTTATGAAATATATAGATGAACAAATGACTCTATATATATATTATTCTACTTACAATTTACGTAAACTTATCTGTTCTAGAACTTTCTAAGAGACGAGAAAAAAGAAAACCATATTCACTAGCTGTTATCATGAGTCATTATTTTCCAAAAAAACAAATCTAGCTTTTTCTATAAGGTTACTACTATGCGAAAAGAATATAAGCACAAAACTACTTAGCACATAATAGCACGCTGACCTGTAGTATATAAAAACGATTGCTATTCTATTAAGTGATCTATCATCATTCATGTCCCAACAAAGAATTAGATAAAAAGGTAGCAGAACGAAAAAAAAACAACTGTATCTTGAGCTATGAAGTCATGATTTTATTTAATAATGAAAAATCCCATTTTCGACGAACTTTCATTTCATATATAAGTTACCGTTTATGTTATTGGAGTTTATAGCAATATTCTGTGAAAACGTATTATTTTTTATCCTCTTTAATCAGTATGTAAGCATCTTGATTGGTTACTATATGCAGATGTCTGCTGAATAAAAACAATTTGCTAAGAAATTCAAACCAATTTATTTGGTGAGACAAATAGATTTTTTTAAAACAACATAATCATCGATTTGTTCAAAAAGATCAATGAGAAGACAAAATCGGAAAGCTTTTCTTTATTGTTCAAGTTGTTTTGTTTTTCACGATGATATGGTTTCTTTCTTCTGTTAAATATAACTCCGTATTCATACTTGTGTGTGACCGAAATCAGTCACATGAAGTCAACATACATTTTCTATTGGCAGAGGGTGTGGTTGGATAAGCTAAACTCATCCTTAAAATAAGTGTATCTGACTGAACAATAGATTTTACTGTTCGGTAGCCCCTTTTTGTATTGATAAAGATATATGTTAACTATTTCAAAATGGATTCTTATGGAATTTCGGTCGAAATCAGCTACGATGCTGAACGTGTGAATGAAGCATTGCTTCAAAGAAACATGCTCAAACAATTGCTACATTATTTCAATCGTACTCATTATCATCAAAGACTAATTTTCGCCACTTGTCAATTACGTTTTATATTTTCATCTCTAAACAGAAAAACACTGAATCAAAAAACACCACAACATGAAAACAAGCAAAAGCAACTGTTACATAAAAATGTACATATTAAACTTCAGAAGCTAACGTTGATATATGTAAATCCTGACTTATAGAAATGATATCTATTAATTGTTTTGTCTCTTGTAGATATGATGAGGATGATGATGTTCGAGGTGTTATCTCATTATCAACATTTGACATTGTTTGTTCTTCCTGTTGAAGTGATGATGCACAAGATAATGATATTGGTGGAGGAGGATGAGATAATTGAGGATATATACTCATTGATGAGATTGTGTCTTGTTCACTAACTTGATTAATGTTATACATATATGGTTCTAAAACAAATCTTTATTCAAAATAGCACAATGACAAAACCAAATGACTTACTAGCTTTGACACGTTCAAAAGAAGGTGATCGAGATTCCCGAACAACAATCGAATGAACTCCTTGCTAGAAAAAAAAACCATAATCAAAATAATGACATTGCAACGAAAATTAAAATTGTTGAGGCAAATTTAGCGGTAGAACACAGACTCTGACCCGATCTTGGCCAGATCCATATTCGGTACTAGCCCAAAGAGCTTTGCATTGCAAGGTTAGTGTAAAACATAGTGTAGCTACTGTTACTAATCAAAAAGAGATTGTTTTATTCTATCTATCTTAGGATAGATTTCTTCGCCATCTGTTTACTTGATCTTTCAGAAATGCAACAGACGTAGTTCATATATATTCTAACGAGACATTGTTCATATACGGTCTTTGATCATATATCAGCGATGCTTGTCACGATCTGTGACGTTCATATCGTTACGTCTGTAGGAGTGAGGAGGAACGAGTCTGAAATCTCTACCTCTGTATTTCAACATCATCTTTCAGATGGAGTTTCGCAAAGCAAGAATTGTGATTAACTTACTGTCATTTTTGTTGATGAAAGACGTTGAGCATTGTTTAAACCATATTTTTTTCCATAAAATAAATAATTTTTTATTGTTAAACATAAACGAAAACCTTTTAGTCGACAAATAATTAATATTAATGTTATTGTTGCCAAAATAAATACAAGTGAAAAAGCAAATATTGTTATTTCAATAGGTCGAGGTGATAAAATTGATTTAAAAATAAAATTTTTAGTTTTACTTTTTGTAGAAAACAAAGAAAATTGTTGATTAATTATTGTAATATTAAAACAATAATAATTATATGAACATAATTCATATTGAGTTTTATTTATATAATTTAAATCAAATTCATTAATTAACATTCGACATTGATTAATAATTATTTCATTTTGATTAAGTAAAATTATAAAATTCGAAAAAAATGAAATATGTAAATTAGTTTGAATTACTTTTAATTGTCCAATCTGATTTTTATTATAAATATCATATAGAAAATAAGTTGAATTTTGTAAACAAATATTAAGTGAAGATGAAGATGAAGATGATTGAATAAGATTAGAAGTAGTTGTTAATTGATCAATAACAATAAATTGTATTGTTATATTTGTTAATAACCATTGTTGAGTTAATTCATGTTTTATTCGAATATTTAATAAATAAATTAAATTTGACATAAGATAATTTGAAGTTTTTAATATAAAATTATTTATTGAAGAAGAAGAAGAAGAAGAAGAGAGAAGTGAAAATGTTGAATAATAATTCTCAAGTGAAAGAATATATTTATCATATGGATAATAATAAGATAAAATATTTAATTGAAATAATATTTCATTTATTGATATATTTTTATAAATAAAAAAAGTATTTGAATTATTTAATTGTTGAATAAATAATGATTTAATATTAAAATGATATGATATATTATTAATATAATTAAATGAACGAAAAAATAATTTAACTTTAGTAAAAGATTTTATATTTTCATTATTTAAATAAAAACCTTCAATTAATAATTCAATATAATTATTAAAATTATTAATATTAATAAAATTTTCATTTGATAAATATAATTGACCTGTTAAAGAATTTATTTCAATAAAATTTGTTTTATTTATTAATTTATATAAAATTTTATTTTTTTTATCATTTGATTGTGCATTAACATAACCTAAAATAGTTCCATTTTTAATTGAAGAATTTATTTTTATTATAAATTCATATTCAGATAATAAAAATTTTGGTTTTTTTAATATTTTTTCTATTTTTATATTTATATTCATTGAATTAAATAATTCTTTATCATATAAACCATAATCAATTGCATATAATATTAAATTATATTCATTTTCAATATATTCATTTGATAATAATGGTGAAATAAATTTTAATGCTAATTGATCATATTGATTTAATAATGATGATTGGGATAATATTTCAAATTCAAATAATGGATAACAATTTATTAATGATTTATTTTTATTTTCTTTTATTAATAGTTTTTCTTTTTTTATTGAACAATCAAGTATATAACGAATTTTACCATTTAAACCTTCATCCAAATCTTTTGCACCTTCAAATAATATTTTATATCCACCAAATATATTTTCATGAAATTTTAATTCTATTGAAGAATTTTTAAATTCTGGTTTATTATCATTTTCACTATAAATCAAAAAA